AGTCCAGCCCCTCCAGCAGCTCGAAACAAGCTGCCTGCGCAAACCACCCCATGTCACCTTTCTGCTTCCTGGAGCAGCGCTAAACGCAGCCTGCAGAAATCTCCCCTCGCACCCTGTCCTGCAAATGTTAATCTGACCTGGGAACTTCCCCTCCTCCCTGCTTTCCCCCTTCCATCTCTCCCCCACTTCCCTCCACTTTTTCTTTGTTAGAGTTTCATTTAACACATCCACCCTTTCCTCCTAGCGTGTTGCCTTCTCCTGAGGATGTCCTCTCTGACCACGCAAGCCAAGGGCAGGCACTCCAGCCCTATAACGTTGGACTGGGTTGGAGGTGAGGCTGGAGAGCCTGCCTGCCCGCCCACCCATCTCTTCAGAGAAACCTGTCTTTCCAGGGAGGGAGAGCAGTATGTGGGAAAGCCGAGAGCCCTGGAACGTGAATTAGCCAGGGAGAGATGAATGTGTGATAGCTTGTACCTGGCAGCTACCAATTGAGCATGTTAACGCTTTCAGGAGGGGTTAGAGCAGCGTTGGAGCTCAGGCATCTAACGCAGGTGTCCTGCTACCCCGGGATGTGGTAGGGGTCATCAAGGTGATGCATGGCATGGACAGGGAGAAACCACAGTGCCTGGCTCCATCAGCGTGACTCTTGGTTCCCGTCACTGCAGAGGGCGTAGGCTGAGGATCTGGCCTCTGGCAGCTTGCTACCAAAGAAGTCAACATTAGGGGATTTTTTTCCCTTGGCTTCCCTGGAAGTCAGTTAAATACCGCAGCTTTAAACAACATGGAGGAAAGAAGAGGCTCCTGACACAGGAGCAGAGCACAAATCAGGAAAGGGGAGTCTCCATGTGCTGACCCTAACCCTGCCCCATGCCTTTAGCCAAGTCAGGTTACCTTTCTGCTCTTAACTTTCTTTTTTTCTGCTGATTGTTTCACACAGCATCATTCAGGTTCAGCCCAGACCTAGGGGATGCAAAGACTCAACCGCACAGGCTGCTCTCATCGCTCCAGGGTTTATCAGAGTTGCCTGAAATGAAGTGAAAGGGCTGCTTACTGGAAGGGCTGTTCCCACAACTCCGACGCCTTCCCTTCTGAGTGCTGGAGGCTGCTGCCCAGCCTGGCTCCATGCCTTGGCCTCTCTTACCCATGCACTGCAAGGGACAGAGCCACAAGCCCATCCACAAGGGGACAACTCAGTCCTGGGGCTGACGTCAGAGCCCCCCTCAAAGCCCCTCGCTTGCAGCCCAGCAAGCAGGTGCTGAGGGGTGTATCTGTGCAGCTAAGGGCGGGCAAACCACCTTCCTTCCTCCCTCCTTCCCACCCCACCCTACGCCCTGGTAGCGCTGCAGGGATTCATCCATTCCCGAGTTACTAATATGCAAATGGGTGCTTTTGCATGGGCCGGGCGCCAGGCTGCTGGGTGTCAGGGCACCCGAGGGAGCCGGAGGTGGGGCGAGGCGTGGCGCGGCGCCGCATGCTCACCTGGCCCTGCATGGCAACAGGCAATGGAGCTCTAGGTCCCTTCGGGAGCGGACCCACGCCCGGTTTGAGAGGCAGCGGGTGGCAGAGGAGGGAGGGCAAACTGGCAGCCCCTGGCAACCTGGGGCTGACGGCAGGAGGCTGGGCGCACCGCGGATTTCCCTCCACCAGCAGGATGGTGAACCTGGAGTCTGTGCACGCAGGTAAAGAGCAATTGAGGAAGGATCGGGCTGGAGCTCACCACGTAGCCGAAACCGTGGACTTGGGCAGGAAATGGGATTGCTCTGATTCCTGTGATCTTTCCTCCCTCCTTTCCCTCTTCTTTTCTCCTGCTGGAGTCGGCTATCACAGCCAGCACCTGGTTAAATGCCCACAGTCCAACCTGGGGATGGATGCTGCCCTGATCCTATTTAGGGGGCTGCCAAGCCATGCCCACAATGTGGGCGCATCACTCACGCTGCCAGCCCTAACGTGGGTTGGGGAGCAGAGCGCAGCGGTCTCTTGGGTACCTCGAAAATGGGCATGTAGTGACTGACTTGTGGGTCCAGTCATTGGGATAAAGCTGGGAGGTGTGAAAGGGGATAAATTCACAGAGGGATGCGGCAAGGGTGGAGGGGCATGTGTGTGCACAAGTGTGACAGCAAGATGGGACGTGGTTTGGAAGGAGAAAAGTTAATGACAAAGAGGGAAAAGGAGGGAGAAATGAATGAAGAGGGAGCTGTAGGAGGCTGGGTTGAGTGAGGAATGAATGAACAGGGGGACTCGGAAAGAGAGAGGCTCATTCCAGGGGTCTGATCCAGAGGTACAGCTTAGGTAGTCTCACATCTTCTCTAAGCAGACCTCCCCTCTGCAATTAGCTGGGGAACAAGAGCAATCACTGCCAAATCTCTCAGAGCTGTGCTGAGCTCTGGCTCACCCCACAGAGTGAGCTTAGATTCTACCCTCAGCTCAAGCCCCTATGCTCAAGGGGAAGGATGGCATCCCTGGGCATGCCGGAGCTGAGGGTGATGCTGGAGTAGGAGCAGAGCAGTGACAGCAGTGAAGATCAGATCCTGATAGCCCCTTCTGTGGCAGGGGCAGGCAGCAGGGTGTTGGGGGTACGGGAGCCGTGTGCCCTGCTGGTGACCTGTGCAGGACAAAACAGTGCGTGTTATCTGCAGGTTTGGAGGGGAAGGGGCAGATACGTCCATCGGTCTGTCCCAGGCTTGTTCCCTTTACATATCTAGTGGCACGCTGCAGCGAAGCTCAGGGGTTTGGTGGTCCTGCTGTGTGGAGGGGACCTAGGGATCCACAGCCAGTGCTTGTAACCCTCAACAGGCCCTGCCTGCACATGGGCTTGCAGGCAGGCCTGCAGGGCAAGGCAGATCCTGTGGCAGTGCCATCCGTGTCAGCCTACAACAGGCCAGCAGAGATGGTGGAAGCTCTACTCTACGGCTGTGTGGCAATCTCCCCATGGCTCTGGGATGCCAGAAGCCCCTCCGTGGCCAGTTGGCACCCTGCCGAGCAGGCTCGCCGCCCGTGCCGCCGGCCACGGGGAGGCCAGCTGGGGAGCACCCGGCGCGGCTCAGCCGGCCACGAGGAGAGGCTGCAGCAGGCGTGAGGCTCGTGGTCTTGGCTCAGCCTGTGAGCCTGACTAGTCTGAGCACCTGCAATGGGTGTGCTTGTGTGTGGTGTCTCTCGGGGACGCATCCCCCGCAGGCTCCTATCCACCCATCTGCTTTGCTTGTGGGCGACTCTTTCTTCATGAGAAGATTCCCAAAATCGATACCGTGCCCTCTGTCAAAGCCAGTGGCATCGGTCCCAGAGTGGATTTGGCCAGGAGCTGCACAGAGCTGGGTGCGCACTGAACTTCCATTCTACCAAATCATCCCACCCTGCTGTCCGTCAGGAGGACCTAAGGTTTAATTAGGCTTTTCGCAGGGAGGGAGGCCAGCCTGGGCCCAACCACTGTCCTGTGCCAGAGCCCCACTCTGGTGGGAGGGTGTTTCTTCACCCTTGTGCAAAGGCAGTTCAGTATGTTCAGTCTTGGGGTCCCTGAAGAGCATGCAGTAAGCTGCTTGCAGAGGTGTGCTCCGTTCCTTCCCTGGCCATGCAGAGAAGACACAGCTTGCAAGGAGAAGGTGGGCTGCTTGGGCTCCACTCACCCTCCTCCCTGCCGAGAGGGTTTCCCTGCAGCAGCACGTTCCCTGGCGTGTACCACCGCCTCCTCCCCAGGCATTTGGGTATTTCACCTCCAGAGGGGCTCCGGCAGGCACCTAAAGTGCTGAAAATTCAATAGTCTCTAGGTAATGTTCTCAGCCAAAATGAGTTCCCCCCACCCCCACCACTGGCTTTTGTTTTTCCTTTTAAAGTCATCAGGCTGGTTTACCCTAGTGCCCATGTCTGAACAACTACTAGGAATAAGGGCTTGGGAAAGCTTTATTTGCTGACACCATTTGTTTCAGCAAAAATATAGATGCAGATATATCCCCAGAGAAGTGTCTGCACTGGTATAGTTTCTTTGGTCTGGGTGAACAAACCAGACTACCCCTACTCCAGGTATGTTTGCTAGCTGAGGTATAGCAGCACACTTTTAATATGGCCCAGGCCACAGTGGCGGCTCCTAATAGGTCTGTGGTTAGGAGTTAGGCAGTCCTAAGTTGCATTATTTTTCCCAGAGAATTTTCTACTAGCCTGCTTCTTCTCTGTATATTGCCAACCTGACAAAGCTGTACAGCAGGAGCCTGCATTTAGTTGGACTCCAAATCTCACAGCCTGTCTTGTCTTGAGATTTTTTTTCAGGTGGAGGGGAGGGTCAAATCCAGATACATCACTCCGTCCTGGTTTGTAGTGGAAGATTCTTGGGTGTCAATAAAAAGGTGTTGCCTTTATCTTGGCTACACTTATATTAGAAAGTAATTCCTCTGTATATCTGCTCCTTGTTCTTAAGGATCCCTTGGAGGATGGCTGGTGCTGCACTGCTGTCCATAGGTGTACAAAAGCTGGCCAGCCCCAAACCACTCAGATCAGTAAGCTTTGATCAAAAGGGTCTTCTTTTTTCTCCTGGGTTTTTGAAGGGTTTTTTTCTGTTTGTTTGTTTGTTTGTTTTCTTTTTTTTTTTTTTTTCCCACAAGGTATTTAAACTGTAATAACTAGCGTACATTTATGATGAGAATTTGAATCTTTGTAAAAATAAAATTCTTTTTCTCTGTGTATGAGAAAATCACATCTCCTGACTCCAGAAGAATAGTATGTGATAGGTAACCAAGTCACAGCTGCGATTCATCCTTTCCCCCCTGCCACCCCAGGTTATAAATGGCAGAGGGGCGGAGGGTTCACTCCAGCAAGAGGGAGAGAGCTTCTCGTGGTTTGCCTTTGTGTCGGCCCTTCTTCAGCTCTGTCTCTTGCTCTGTGCCCATAAGGGGCTCCTTGGTCTCGGGGATTAGATAATTTTCTTTCACTAACATGCGTTCATTCATTATTTGTGTGCTCACAATGAAATCTGCATTACTTTTTTTGCAAACTTGCAGACTTTCTCACCAAAGCAAGCACCAAACTTCTGCACAGTTTACAGGTTTTCTTACTCTATTTTATGAGAACTCAGCTTTTTTTTTTTAAGATACTTTTTGGCAGCAAGCAAAACTTTGTGCTTTGTAGATTGCCTAAGTTAGGGTCCCTTGGCAGTATTACAAGACAAGAAGATGTTTATAGCTGATGATAATTACTCTTCCTGAAGTAGAAACGCTTAGAAGCCCCACTAAATGTTCATGTCTTAATTGCAGCGGGTTTATTTGAAGGGAAGGAAAAAAATCCCACAACTCTTTTTCTCTCTCCTTTTTCCCCTCACTCCTTAATACAATTTAAAGAAAGGAAGTTTCTGAAGTATGTAAATGTTTCTGCACTCTGTCTCTGGTATAAAATCTTGTCATTTTTATATTCCTTTATTCATTTGATGAAGAAAAAGCTTCAGGCTTTAGCAAAGTTACTCAGTTTTGGCCAAAAAGCAGATAATTTGCCATTTGCACGCCGGAAGTTTGAATGGGGGAGAAGAAAACCTGAACAAACAAAAAGGCCTGCCTGCTTTAGTGTGAGTAATAGAGGGAAATTGGTATAAAAAACTATAGGGTTCTTCTCAGCCTTTTGGCTGTTTGGAAATAATACAAGACATATGTATAGGAAAGAGGAAAAGGTTTGCATGATGCCTTTAAGAAGGCTTCCACCTGCCTTTTCTACCCCAGCAAAACCACAGCAAACACTGGCCCAGCTTCCACGCTGTTGTTGTTACCCGATGCAAATCGGATGACTTCTGTGGTAGGGATTGGCTGCAGGAAGCACATGCAAATCAGTTGGTTCTTTATAAAAAATTATTATCTTTTTTTTTTTTTTTTTCCCCCAACTAGCCTGGAAAGAGTTAAAATTCCCATGCAAAGGGTAGAAGAGCATGAGGGGGTGTCCATCTGAATTTGAATAGATATTCTTCCTTCTTTCACTGGTGTGTACTTTGCCTCTTTTCAGGAGGAGATGGGCAATCCAGTGTAAAGTTGACTATTCCCACCTTTTCTTTCAGCTGTCCCCGAAGGAGAACGCGGCCCCGGGTGTGGTGGCAGCCATCACTTCAAGGGTAAATGACAAATTTATTGGCATTGATAAGGATGGGGGGAAATACGCAGGAGCTTGATGGCAAAGCACTCTTCTTGCTCCTGGGTTGGGGTCAGTGTTTTGGAGCAAGGCAGCTTCTTCGTGCTTTGTGAGGGGTGTGAGCATGTGCATGTGGGAAAGAGCAGGGTAAATAGTTTGCAAATAGGGATCAGGCAGATTGAGAGAAGCAAGCCGGGTTTGCAAGGGAGTGAGAGGAGAAGAGAGACTTCACTTCCCTCTCTGAGAGCACCTTGCTCTGGACCCAGGTCCTCCCTGCATGCACCTTGTACAGCACCAAGCACTGTACATCTCCAGGGACAAGAAAAGGATGTGGGAGAGGAGGGGAAAGCTGGGAGGGATCCCCTGACTCTACAGGTGTGTTGGAGGACGGTGTCAAGCTGAGAGACACACCAGCTGGTTTAGGAAGACTGCATAAAACTCGGGGAGAGGCCACCGAGGTTGTGAGGGCTCCTGGTGGTTAAACAGCCCCTCATCCTCTGTGTGGGAGAGGAGCAATGTGACAGGTGAGAACACAGCAGCAAATTGGGGAGAGGCAAAGGAATGAGGGAGATGCAAAGAGCAACAGGAGGGAAAGTGCATCCTTGGAGCTGATGAATATTCTAGTGACTGTATGTTGAGGAACCAGAAATTTGAAAGTCTGATGGTTTATTATAATTACACATTCATTTGTGCTGTTTAGTGGAAGCCACATGTGCCTGTTGCCTGGGACTGTGACCTGTTATTAAAATCAGTTGTGTGTCCTTTTCCAGAGATCAAGATGAGCGGTGATGCGGCAGATTCCACAGATACTCGGCACGAACCTGACCAGGTAGAGCCAGGTAAGGAGGGTCGGGGACGTGGGGAGCAAGGGAGTGAGCCTGAGGAGGGAGGGGAAAGAAAAGGGGGGCATGGATGCTGGAAGTTTCTGTCCATGCTTTGCTTGACTCCTGTTGCTGCTACATTGCGCTCTTCCAACCAGCCTGGCTGTTGATCAAGAATGTGCTCTGGGCTAGGATTGCATGCGTACCTTGCTCAGCATGCAAGATCCTTCTGTAACAGCAGGAACCAGTGTGTGTCTCAGTAATGTCCTCTGTGGTTTTAACATGGAAATATGCTCACGTCTTGCCAAAGGACTAATGCCATTGAAATAGCCTTGGTCCGCTCAGTTTAGCACAAACAGCTCTTCGATTTACACGGGGTTAATGTCGGGAACATTTCCTTACACAAAACTCCCTGGTGACTAAGCCTTTTTTGGCCATGTATATGTAGAAAGATGTGAGGGACTTTGGGAATAATCAAATCCAGCTAGGTAGTTCTAGCATAAATTTATCGCTCTTCATCTTGAAGCATGATTGAGTTTCTCATCTTCACTACTCCCACCTGACGGCTGCTCAGATTCTCACTTCTCCATGGCTAGAAGCCCCAGTTTTCCTTGAATATGGAAAGCTGAAGAACAAGGTGATCCTTTGAAGATGATAGCACTGGTGTTAGCACTGATTTCTGCCAGGTTACCTACCAACTTCTGCACTGCCACAAGGTGTGATATACACCAGAAAAATCAGTTTTGTGTTTGCTGGCATCACTTCTGGCTGCCACTGCCAGCGGTAGGCTTTGAATGCAAGACCTCTAGTCTGTGATTTCACAAAGGTCAGATTCCTTTTTAGGCAAACAAACAGCAATAAGGAATATTTTTAGCACCCACTAGGTATTAAAAAAATAAAGATTATTAGAAACCGTGAGGCTCATCTATAGACTCAGAAATAAACACCTTTTAAAACCAAAACTGGTAGAGACAATGTAGAAGAGTCATTGTTCTTTGAGTAATGAAGAGCCCTAAGCTTGCGGGGGGTGGGGAGGAATGTGTAACAGTAGATTAAAACTTTACGTGGAATGATTTTACTGTTTCTCTTTTACTTCTGTCATTTGAGAGGACTTAGAAAAAATGAGATTTTGGTAAAATCAGAGAGAACTCTAGGCATGTTTTAATGGGATTAAAACTACCCCTTTATTTACAGTTTACACTGGGGACTAGAAATCCTCTGTGCTCTTAGCTATTAAGATGGGTTATTCGACATAATCTAACGTAGAGATAAAATCTGGTTCTGTTCGTGTCCATGAACTCTGATTGACTTCTGCCAGGTCAGCTTCTGCTCAGGGCTTTTAGATGACCCCAGGTTGTTTTTAGAGATAAATGTTTCCAAGCCACCTAGCAACAAACGTGTCCCCAGCTTCCCGAACTCTTTTAAAAAGCCCTGGTAGTTGTTACAGGGCCTTAAATTGGGAATCAGACTCTCGCGAAATATTTTGTGCATATTGGCACACGAGCAGATGGATAGCATAGTTGAATCAAGATTAGGGAAGGCTGTATTGAGAGTCGGTATTTGGTTTTGGTATTGGCTGTTACTAAATGTAGCGGGAGACTCTGGCTGCTGGTGTTGTAGTCAATAGCGTTAAATACACGAGAAGCTGGCACCACAGTTGATTGATTGGATAAAATACTGGTTTTCAGTTTAAGCTTCCCAGACAGCTATTAGTGTTAGCTGTAGCACCTCTTTCTAGTGGTAATTGAGAAAAGAAAGCAGAGAAGTGAAGTCTATTTGTTTTAAAATAACAAAAATGTTTGCAGCAGCATTAGCTCTGCTCTAGGAGCCTTCAAATCAAGCAGGGAAATCAGAACAAGTAAATCTCCTTCATTTGCAAAAGAGTGCCACTTCCCTGCCGACTGATACAAGGAACCTGTTTACATTATTCTTTTTTCTAATGCAGTCCCCGTGGCTGGTTGATCTGTTCAGGATCTTCAGAGATCACCACGTCAGACTTAGCTGTGATGAGAGACACTGCAGAGAATTAGGAGCTTCTTGTAGGACTCCAGCAAACAGCCACAACCCCTCCTGCGGGGTGCCTGCTCCCTTGCAGGACTCTCAGAGAAGAGGGGAGCCAGGGCAGGTCCACACACTGTTGCTCAGCTGTATATGTTGTACTTCAGGTGGTGTAACATCAACCCTGCTGGCAGTCGTGACCAGCCAAGCCCATGGAGGGTCTGCCTCGATGCTTTACCTAAAACCTCTGTGCATCTTTGCCATTTTTTTTTTTTTCTCTTTCCGACGATTATGTTTATAAACAACAAAGTTCTTTGTACTGAACTTCCCTGGAAGTTTTTATTTTCCCTTATACACAGTGTTAAAGGAATATTTACTGCAACACCTAATAGTTTAGTGTTTTGTTTACTAGCTTCAAGTGGGAAAATCTGTTTTCCAATGACTCATTAATTGAAGACCCTAATGAATTGGGCCAATCCACTCAGCTCCCCAGGAATCTTGCTACCCCCAAAGGAGAGGGCAGTTACCAAACTAACAGTATTATAGCTTATAAAGAGTGGAAATCCTTCTAGGTGCGTATTTACAAAGGCCTTTCATCACCAAAAGATGCAGACTGGATCCAAGAAGAATTAAAAAAAAAACAAAACTGGAGAGAGTTGGGTGCCAAAATGCTTTTGTAAACCAAGCCCTTGATCTACAACTGGTGCCTAAAGATCTGATGGGAAGTGTCAGTAGCAGAAGCATAATCTCATCCTTTCATATCTCCACCAGTTCCAGGCTTAGAGGGGAAAAAAGGGTAATATGGGGCATTGTTTTACTTTGAACACGCTTAAAATAATTGCAGAGCTTTTTCTTTTTTGATAAAATTTTTCATAGCAGGTTAGGAAAGCTAAGCTTTTTTTTTTTTTGTCATCCACACCATTTTTTTTAGAAAATCCTTCAAAGCTTTTTAGTAAGATGTAGTGAAATTTTGCCATTTTACAAAAAGCTATGGTTAAAAAAAAATATAATTCTAAGGAATATCGTCTACCCTTCTGAGTCCTGTGAATCCTAAGGCTTCCTTTGCTTTAGCTCTGCCTTTTTTTGTCGCAGTGTGTGTGTGAGGGTGAAGAGGGGAGTAGGCACGAGTTTCTCCCACAAGGGCCGGGAGTTGGACTGCCTTCCCCTGTCGCCCAGGAGTTGTGTAGGGCAGCCCCAGCCCAAGCACTGGGTCATCCCTCCAGTCTGAGGGTCCTCTTCACCCTTTCCTGTGTGATGCCAGCGTGGTTTAACGCTTGGCGTGCGGCGGCTGTGGCTGGGCTCGCAGGCAGTCCCACTGACTCCATGGGGGGTAATGACAAGCGTGAGTTTTATGCTTGGCTGTAAGCTCTTTTCATCTTCTTAAACTGATGAAAGCCATGCCAGCAAGTTCTGGTTGATTTTTTTTATGGGAACTGTGGGGGCTTGGCACTGCAGAGTGTCGCCCCTGGTCTTCAAGCCGAGAGGCAGAGATCTCCCCCTTCTTGTGGTTTATCTAAGCCCTCTGTATCTGATACAACAAAATGCTGAGGTGGGACTTGCCTCTGTCTGTCTGTTTGTTTGTGTCAGACACTTGTTCCCCGTTTTATCTGCTTGATCAAAACAGGTTACACCAAGCAAAGCTACTTCCCTTTGATTTCATCTGTTGAGGCTATGGGGGGGAAGCCAAAGCTTTAACAAAAGGGCGATAGGGAAGCTCTTCAAACATAACCATTGGTAACTGAATAGCTGCAGGCGCTCCGAACATCTTCCCTCCCCACCCTGTAACACGGGGAACTGGCCAGCCTGCCAGGAGCCCAGGGCGGGGTGCTCGATGGGCATCCCAGCACATGGGGAGAGGAGCTGGGGTGTGTACATGTGGGTGCAATATAGGACAGCCCTACAGCATTATCGCTGCCTTGGGAGCAGCTGGTGTTGCTCCCTGGGACACCGGTGGTTGGCTGACCCGGCAGCTTTGCCCAGCTGTGTTGGGTCTGGGATCTGGAAGAGTAGCAGCCAGGTAGAGGAGTGCGGTTTCACGGGGAGGGCGCATGGAGCCAGAATGCTGGTCTCTTGGCCTGCTTCTGACTGTGGTGGCAATGGTAGCAGGGTTATCTAACCCTCACAGCTTGGGTAACCTATCTGAGAGCATTAGGAAGCAATAAAGCAGATATCTTCTCTCTGAGGGTAAGAAAGACCCTTCCCTTTAAACCCCAAGAAAATGAAAGCGGTGAGGAGCTATGATGCATCTGGTCCTATGGTCTTGTAAAGTGTCCCTTTTGAGGAGACACTGCTGTGAATGTAATTCTTTTCCCCCTGCATCCTCAACTTCAGCCAGCTTGTGCCTGTGGAAGGATGTCAGCATGAGACAGCTTCCTCCGCTACTGCCGCAAGACACCTAAGGTCCCCTGGCAGTGGAGGAGAGAAAGCAAAGGCATCTCTGAAACTAGACACCAAAACTTCTGCTCAAGCAAAAAAAAACTCCTCCCCCTACCCCAGCTTTATGTCGGTGCATTTTGCATTAAATCAATATCGGGGCAAATAGAAAAACAGAGACAACGTCTCTGCCTCTCGGCCGCACACTCGCTGTACAAACGTAATTAAGTGTCTCTGTTCCTCAGCTCCGAAGCGAGGGTCCCCATCTCTCCTCCCACCTTTTTGCCAGGGTGTAGGCTCTTTGATGCAGTTGCTGCTCTCCTCAGGGATGGGTACAGCTCTGGAGCCCTGATCTCTGCTGGGCTCTGAGAAGGCTGGTTTTTATTGTATTCCAATAGCAGGTGTCAGGGTAGGGTCTCTCGTAAACGTGGTGGCTCATGGTGGCATAGGGTATGGAGTCTCTGACCTCTGGGTTTGCTTCTAACTCAGGCAAAATGGAATGTTCACAAGCGAGGGTTGTCAGACTGAGCAGGGCAATGGCTTGTGTGAGACGAGTTGGTGGGTGCTCCGGCTGTGCTGTTTGGTGCACAGGGGCGCTCGTTGTTGCTCTTAGCAGGCAAGCTTTTTTTTTTTTTTTTTCCTTTTGT